TAGATGAGAAGCAACCCTCAACATGCCAAGGTCAGCTGGACCAGTTAAGCCAAGCCAACCAGAACTTTCCCATGTTCTTGGATCCCTGGGGCCCAGCAGCATCACAATGGCCTCTTGGTGTCATGAGACCCCATAGTATCACAAGAGATCTTTGTTTCCATAAGGCCCAGCAATACTACAATGGTCTCCTTGGCTCTGCAGCGGCACAATGGCCCCTTGCTTCCATGAAGTCTTGCAGTGTCAAAATGGTTCCCTTGGTTCCATGGAAATGCACAATGGGACAATGGCCCCTTGGTTCTATTGGGCTCCCCAGGATCACAATGGAGCCTTGGTTCCACAAGGCCTGCCTGTGTCACACTGGCCCCTTGCTTCCATGAGGACCTATAGTGTCACAATGGCCCTTGGTGCCAAGGGGACTGAGGGTGCCAGAATGTTCTCATTGCTTTCACAAGTCCCTGCAATGTCATAAAGAGCTCCTTGATTCCACAAGGCCCTGCAGAGCCCCTTGATTCAACGAGGCCTCAAAGTGCCATAATGGTCTCCAGGATTCCATGAGGCCCCACAGTGTCTCAAAGGCACCTTGGGTCCATGAAGCCCGGAAGTACGGAATTGCCTCTTGATTCCATTGGGCTACTCACTGTTACATGAGTTCCTGGTTGCACCAAGCCCTGTAGTGTCACAATGGTCTCCTTGGTTCCCCAGAGTCAGAATGTCCCCATGGTCTCATGGAGGCCCACTATGATCCCCTTGATTCCATAAGGCCCTGCCGTGCTACAATGAGCCCTTGGTTAAACGAGGCCCTGCAGTGTCACAATGGCCCCTTGGTTCCAGTGGGTCCTGAAGTGTCCTAATGGTCTCCATGGTTCCATGAGGCCCCAGAATGTCATGATGGACTTTTAGTTCCATCAGGTTCCATACTGCAAACAACAGTCTCCTTGTCTCCACAGTGTCACAATGGACCCTTTAGTTCTATGAGGTGCCTGGCCTCCCACAGCCTCTCAGAGACCTTCCCTCCCTCAAGGTACCGAACAACCCTTCATGGCTCCTCACCGCCCCTCACAGCCCTTCTCAGCCTCTCATGGCCCCTTACAGCCCCTAATGGCTCCTCATGGCCCCTCACAGCCCAAGTCCTGGGGCTCCTCCCAGAGAAGAAAGGGTCAGGCCCTTCTTGTTGTCCTTTTATTTCAGTCCTTTCACAGCCACGAGTGCAGAAAGGCTGAAATGGAGCCTTTCCCCAGCGTTTCCCTCGGGGTTAACTGCGGGCTGAAGCTCTGTGCTGGCACTGGCCCGAGCGCCACCATCCCTGCAGCCACCAGGCCTTTGCTGTCCCCCCGTGTCCGTTCCCTGTCCCCGAGTCCCGCCCGGCTCTGGCAGCAGCAGCAGCCGCAGCGCAGGGGGCGCCGGCCCAGCACAGCCGGGGCTCCAGGCCAGGAGCAGCAGCAGCGCCGGCCCCTTCCCACCTGCTCCTGCCTCGGCTCCCAAGGGCTTTTTCAGCTCAGTTCTGGATTAGAGCAGCAATCACCCACACACAGCCCTGACTCCTCAGGGCCCGCCTGTGCTGCCCTGAGCCAGCCCTCAGAGAAAGAAAGGATCGGGTTCCAGCGCTGTTTCCAGCACTGTTTTACTCACCCTGAGCTGACAGCAGGAGGCTGCTGCTGCCTTTGCCTTGGGAATTGGAGATCCTGGCTGCTCTTGTCCCTCTTCCACTTGCTACTTGAAATTCATCTGTAGAACTGCAATTGCCTTTTTGATCAGTGCTACCCAGTGTGCTTTCGTGACAGTGAATTTAGGAATCCTTAAAATCAGAGGGTTTCGGGAAAGCTGCAAAAAGCAGGCCTCAGAGACAGCAGAACTGCGATTAGTGCTAAGCGGTAGCCATAAGATTTGTCAGCAGAAAAGTTATATTAGAAATAGAAAGTAAGGACAAATAGAACAATGGTTTTTGTATTAACGCTTGGTAGAATAACTTCCTAAGCTACAGAGAAGTATATCTAGCGAGATATTAGGAAGTTCTAAGCTTGAGCTCTGTGCATTGTGTTTTAAGGCTTACAAGCAGGTATTATACTCAAAATAGGCAAGCATTGTTTTAACCAAAGGTACCTGTGCTTATAGTGGTTGGATAGAACTACTGTCAATATGCTTTTGCTTTGTGGGATTGGTCAAAAAACTTTTAAAGTAATTTGTAACATTGAGTTCTTTGTCTGCTGCGGAGGATACGAGCTGCTGGCACCTTCCCATTGTCATAACCATGTAATGAGACTGATGCTGGAAAATAAACAGCTCGAGACACGTTCCTCAGCAGTCCCGTCCTGTTGGTGATTTGTACATAGCCCCCAACCAGCAATAGGTGAACTCAGGCTTTTGGTCATAGGCATCATGATTAGCAGATCTTGAAATGTTCTCAAGTCCCTGGGCACAAAGTCAAGGAGAATTAAAGCAGCCACACTGGCCACATTTGAAGGGCTCAAACACAGCCCTGTCGCTGCTGCTGCTGAAATAGAATCAACTGACAGAGGCCATCACAGAAATTGCCTCTGGAGCAGCAAATCAAATGAAAAAATATACCAGGAGAAAGAGAAACCAGAACTTCTTGGCTCCCTCCATTGTCTCTTCCAAGCAGCAGCAGCAAATGGAGATGCCCAGAGGTATTTCCAGCTGCTGCAGGTCCCAGCTGGAGCCCAGCCTGCTGCCCAGGCCCAGCGGGAAGCTGAACCCAGCCCGGGGAGCTCCCGCAGTGTCGGGAGCTCAGCGCATGCGGGGCCAGGCCCAGAGCCCCGGGCACGGCCGCCCATTGCGGGGCAGCGGCGCAGACGGAATGTCCTGCGGCCCAAACCTCCTGCTCCTGCCACACAGCACCAGCGCTCTCCCCCTCCTCCTCCTCCTCTCCCAGCACGGCACAAATTCCAGCTCCGAGGAGGCTGCCCCAGAGAGGGCTCAGGCTCCTGCTTCAGCCTCAGTGTCCCTGCAGAGGAACAGGGCATCTTTCAGGCACTTCCACCATCTCAGGGTTCCCATTTCATGGGGAATCTGGGATGAAAATGGCCTTGTTAGGAAGGACAAAAGCAGAGGGAATGGTTTGGAAATTATTAGGAAAAATGATCCTTTGTACAGCCAAAGCTCAATAAGTCATTCCCTGAATTTCTCCTTTTCACATTCTTTCAGTCATCTCCTCAGAGGTCCAGCTTGTTCTGGTGCCTTTCATGAACTGATTGTGCTCTTGATTTATATCAATGCATGAGATGTAGAAGCATCTGAACTGAACACTGAAACAAACTCCCTCTGTCAACCCATTTTCATCTCCTACATCACTTTCAAGATGTCCATGGGGGTGTTGGAATGATTATCACACAGCTCTCCATTTCTGGCTGCAGGCTCTGGAGATTCTTTCTCTGCATTCAGTCAGGCTTACATTGCCTAACAATTCCTGGGAGCCCATCATGTTTTCTTAGGGTAGAACAGTAACAATGAAAACCTCACCAATGGCACAACTGCCCAAACCACAAGGAAAAGAAAGAACAAGCTGTAAAGTTCTTCAAACATTTGTCCTGCTTTGCTGCAAGAGTTGTGCTGCACGCACGGTGTGGAAAGCCAAGAGAAGCTGCAGTTGGCGGCACATCTTGTGACAGAAGCTGCACCTGGTTCTCCAGGAAAGGTTCTTGGAAAGAGCAAACAGGACTGTGGACAAGATTCTGGAAGAACTGAAAGAGCTTTTAAGAAATGAAATGAAAACAGAAAGAAACAAACCAAGATGTTTTACTGTATTTATTTTTATGCTCCCCATTTCCATGTTGCACTACTTTTCCATCCCGTTCATTCCAAATGGATCTCACCTCGAAGATCCATGACATGGCATGTTTAAGACACTGTAAAATACCATGAGCTGCTGCATCCAGTTTGCCTTCCCGTTTGTTTTTTTTTTTTTTTTAAAGCAGTGCTGGAGAGGTAAATGCAGTGCTTGGGTCAGGTACAAATTCTGCATTCAGGGAATGCGCTCCGATAGTGTTTGACCCTCAGCAGGGAAAATGCACAGCAGCAACCGAGGGGATTCCTGTGCCGCTGTGCAGGAGTCCAGACTCTGGGTCTTGGCTAAACAGGGCAAAGTTCCCGTGTTTGGACAGGCTCAGGGGCTGCCCCCGGAGAGCGCGGGGCTCGGCGCGGGGGCGAGCGGGCAGTGGACAAACGGACACGGGGACAAACGGCCCCAGAGCTTCAGTTGCAGCGGCAGAAGCGAAAGAAGCGACGTTGTCAACTCCCTCTCGCTTCGCCTCTCCCGCAGTCCCGCACGCTCTCCCGCTCTCCCTTTCCCGGTGTTCCCCTCCTCTCCCAGTCTCTCTCTCCCCATGCCTGGCTGGGCCATGCCCCCGGCCCGCCCCCGGCCCCGGGTGGGGCTGCCCCGTGCCCGGCCCCGGGTGGGGCTGCCCCGTGCCCGGCCCCGGGTGGGGCTGCCCCGTGCCCGGCCCCGGGTGGGGCTGCCCCGTGCCCGGCCCCGGGTGGGGCTGCCCCGTGCCCGGCCCCGGGTGGGGCTGCCCCGTGCCCGGCCCCGGGTGGGGCTGCCCCGTGCCCGGCCCCGGGTGGGGCTGCCCCGTGCCCGGCCCCGGGTGGGGCTGCCCCGTGCCCGGCCCCGGGTGGGGCTGCCCCGTGCCCGGCCCCGGGTGGGGCTGCCCCGTGCCCGGCCCCGGGTGGGGCTGCCCCGTGCCCGGCCCCGGGGGTCCCGCCGCGGTCTCGCCTCCGGCCGGCTCTGGCCGTGCTGGCGGTGGCGCTGCTGGGGGGGCATCAGTGCCTGGGGCTGGGGCGGCATCGCCTCCCTTTGGCTCCGCCTGGCCCGAGCCCGGCCCCGGCTCCTCCCGGTGCCCACGGAGGACAGGTGGCGCGGCACCTCCCGCCGCCTCCGCTGCGGCTTGCCCGGCCCGAGCTCCGCCGCTCGGCAGCGCGGCCGCCGGCCCCGAGCCGCCGCTGTCCCGTTCCCGGGAGCGAACGCCTGGGCATGGCCGGCCCGGGGCATGAGCCGGAGCCTGGCAGGGTGGAAGCCACCAGGACGCCTCGAGGGAGAGTGGGCGTGGGGCCAGCGCAGGGTGCAGAGCATCCCAGGCTGGCTGAGCGCTCCCCGAGCCCCGGCACGGCGTCAGCTCCACTGACGGCATCGTGCTCCTCCCACAGCCCGACGGCACCAGCGCACCCCTGGAGATCGTGCTGCTGGCCAAGGTGTCCACTGGCTTCCCTGGTGTGGTCCAGCTGCTGGAGTGGCTTGAGCTCCCCAACAACACCTCGATGGTGCTGGAGCACCCGGAGCAGTGTCAGGACCTGCAGCATTTCATTGGGGCTCGGGGGTTCCTGCCCGAGGAGGTGGTGCAGGAGCTGTTCCTCCAGGTGCTGGAGGCCGTGCGGCACTGCACCAGCTGCGGGGTCCTGCACAGGGACATCAAACCAGAGAACATCCTGCTTGACCTGCACACCGGGCAGGCCAAATTGATCGACTTTGGCTGTGGCACCTACCTGCAAGACACAGCCTACACTCACTTTGCAGGTGAGCCCACGCAGGGGTGTGGTCCTGGTCCCGGCATCTCATGGCCCAACATCTGACAGCCCAAGCTGGGTGTGGCAGCAGGGATTCTCTCTTTTGCTGCCCTTCATGGCACTGAGTCTTCAGCTAAATTGCTTTTGAGCAGGGTTGAGTGGGGAGCCAGCTTCCAGCCCTGCTGGCAGCTTTTGCCCACAACTCTGGCCAGGACTGAGGCTGGGGCTGGGGCAGCCAGCCCAACAAAAACACCCGTGGGTGGGGGTAGCAGAGAAGGGGGGTAGAACCTGAGCCCCAGCCGGTTTGGTGTGCAGGTGAGAAAGGCCTTGGACTGCTCCACTCACCTGGTTTGCTTTGGGTTCATAATGTTTTTGGGGCAATGAAGGCAGGGAGGATGAGGGCATTGTCATAAATGGTGTCCAATTTGTGTTGAATTGGGGCTGGGTTGGGAATTGTTGTTTTGGGGTGAGTTGATGGGTGTTTGTTGTGGGTCCTGGGGAGGGGAGGTCCAGGGTTTGGTGGGGGCGATAGTCGAAGGGGGGTGGGAGGTGATTGGACAGGGGACTTGACCAATCATTCGATGCCCTGAGAAAATGATTGGTCCAGAATGAATATCGATAAGGACCAATGAGAACACCGGAAAATGACCAATCAACGTGCGGATCCAAACCCCACCAATCCTGGACCTGAGAGGGGTAATAAAATGAGGCTTTGGGATGGTTGGGTTTCTTCTCCTTCTGAGGCATGTACTATATAGGGGGGAAGCCCAGCGTGTTTGGGACATGTTGTTATCTTTGGGTTGTTGCGTGGGAGTTTGGGCTTATCTCAAACTTCCTGTCCTCTGTAGTTATTCTTAATAAACGAGAGCCTATTTCCTTCTCAAAATCTGGCCTCGTTCGAATTCATAACAGCATGGTTTTTCACCAGCACTGAGTGGGTTTTTCCTTGTTATGGTTGGGCCTTGCCAGGGTTTCCACTGCCCTCTTCCAGCACCAGTGGCTTCTTTCCCAACCCCAAGTCTGTACACAAGTCCCAGGTGCTGGCGAGAGGGCAGTGGTCACCCCGTGTGCCACTGGGGCAGCCCCCACACGCCCAGGGATGCTGGGGCCAGGCTCTGGGAGCAGCAGCATCCCCCTGCTGAACTCCATCTGTATTCCATAGGAACACGGTCATACAGCCCCCCGGAATGGAGCCACTTTGGCTGGTACTATGGCAAGCCAGCTCCCATCTGGTCCCTGGGCATCCTGCTGCACCAGATGGTCTGCGGGGAGCACCCTTTCAGGAGGGGCCAGAACATCAGCTGGGACCATCAGCTCTCGCTGCCACAAGGGCTCTCTCAAGGTGGATCCTCATCTCTGGCCACAGGAGGAATCCCAGTGCTGGGAGACAGCAGTGGGCTTGTGAGCATCCCGCTCTGGCAGCTGCTGAGGAGGTGGCACATGTCCTGCTCTCCTGCTCTCCTCCAAAACAGGGAATTGATGGGAAAGTTTAGGCCCAGCTCTGAGCACATCCAGCAAGGCCTGGGCACGGGAATAGTGGGGCAAAGCCAACAGGAGCCTTCTCCAACTGCCCAGCGGTTTCTGGTTTCTGTGCCCAGAGTGCCAAGATCTGATCAGGCGGTGTTTATCCATGTTGGACTTGGAAAGGCCCTCATTGGAAGAGCTGCTCTGTCATCCTTGGATGCAGGATATTCATCTGCCCTAGAAGAAGGGAGAGAGCCACAGGCACACTTTGATGCAGGCCCTGGTAAGTTACAGCCCCATACGTGCCTTAGCAATGAGTAGCAAAGGAACCCAGACTTTTTTGTCCTGCCCGTGTCACTGCCCAGGGCTCATCAGATGGGCACACGCAGCCCTTGTGCTGGAGCTGAGCTGCTCTGCCCAGCACTGGTGGCTGCCAAAACCATCTGAGCTGGTTTTGCTTGTCCTGGTTCCCTGACAGCTGGGGCCCTGGGCAGAACCCTGAGAGCCTGGTCTCAGCCCAGGGAAGGAGAAGGAGCCCCTGGAGAAGCTGTACCAGGTGGGGCTGCTGCTGCTGGAGACAGCGAGGATGACACCAAGGATGACAACCTCTTCCTGGACCTGGCCAATGGCCAGCTGAAGATGATGGACTTTGATTGGGGCACCTTCTTCAAAGCCAGGCTCCACAGGGAATTTGCAGATGAGTCTACACACAGGGGGATGCTCCCAGATTTGGGCATTGCACAGCCTGGCCAGGAACCAAAGGTACCCCCTTTGCTGGGGCGGGTGCAGCTGATCCTTCAGTCACTTCCCAGCTGCTTTTGGCAGGGCTGGGGCATGGGCTGGGGTGGGTACAAAATGGGAGTGGGCTCCTGGCCCTGCCAACAGCCCCCAGCACCCACCGTGCCCCAGGCTGGGGCTGGGGCTGGGGCTGGGGCAGCCAGCCTGACACAAACAAAGCCCCATGGTGGGAGCAGAGGTGGGACTCCAGAAGCTGTGCAGGGGCTGCTTTGCTGTGCAGGCAAGGAAGGGCTTGGGCTGCTGCACTGCCCTTGTTTGCTTTGGGGTCACCGTTATTGTGGGGGGCAGTGCAGGGGGAAGGGAGAAAGCCTGGGCTTCCCTCACCCGTGGGTGGGTTTTTCCCTGGCATGCAGGGGTTGGGCCTTCCTCAAGCCCCTGGTAGAGATAAGATGTTTTATCTTTTTTCTTGTTTGCCCCTTTTGTCTGTAATCTATTTTCAGTAATTTGTTTGTTTTCCTAGAGGAAATGTTCCAGGTGGGCTCCAGTCTGGATGGGGAAGTGCTTGGGAGCAGCTGTGGTGTGGATGGGCCATGCCCTTGGAGAAGGCTGAGGACATCGTTTGGGACCAGCCTTTCTTCCAGCGGGGGAGGGCGTGAGGTGGGTCCCCGTCTGCTTGGCAGGGTGGGATCAGAGCTTTTGGGAGATGGCAGCGAGCACAGGAGCATCCTGCTCTGGGCAGCTGCTGAGGGCTGGATGTGCCCTGGCTGGCTGCAGGCTGGGCACATGTCCTGCCCTCCTGCTCTGTGCCAAAGGCCGCAGGGATGAGCAGCTCTGGGCACCTCTCTGAGCACGGCCAGCATGGCCTGGGCACCGCGGGCGGCTGGGACAAGGGCACAGGAGCCTTCAGCTGACGGGCGGTTTCTGCTTTCTCTCCTTGCAGCTGGGCTCTGCGGGTGCTGAGGCTGCTCTGGGCTCAGCCTGGGCTCTGCTGGAGCTCAGCACCAGACCAGAATCAGCCAAAGAAGAAATGGTGTGACCTGCAGCACAGACTTGCTTGAGCATTTTGGCAGCACAGCTCAAGTTTGCAGAGTGTACACCTCCAAGGGAAAACATGACACCCCCCAGAAAATAAACTTGTTCAGTAACTTCTGAAATGAAATCAATCTGGGATGACCCCAAATGACATTTTTCATCTTGCTCAAGTTGTAGCTCAGCCCTTCTCTGAACAGTTCTCTCCTCCACCTGCCTTTTACTTCCCAACTGCTCCCTCTTTTCCCCCAGTGAGTTCCCAGCCCATTGCAGTGTCCATCACACTGTTGCCTTCCTTGGTGCCCCTCACCATGAGGAAGGCAGAGCCCCAGGTTTAGGGACTCATCCTGTCACTGCCTGAGGAGCAGCAATGTCTCAGAGGTCCAGTGGGATTTTAGTGTCATTCAGAGCTGCTCTCCAGCCCTCAGCTCTCCTCACTGCTGAGCTCCCTCTCCCTTTTCCTCGTCCTTGCAGCAGGATGAGCTCTGTGAATCCCCTTGAGCCTCCCCACTCTTCCCAGCCCACGCACCCACCTCAGGCTGAAGCTGAAGCTTCTCTGTCTCCTGTGGCACACCAGCCCAGTGCCCTGTGCGGGGAGCCCCAGCCCCAGAGCACAGCACACAACACTGCAATCCAGGCTGCAGCAGCTGCCCTGCAGCCCTGGCTTGGCTGTCTGTGGCAAGGGAATGCTCCCTGTGTCCAGCTGTCCCTGCAGGATGGCCCCAGGGCAGAGCCCAGCCGGGCTCCCACTGCAGCCCCTGGAGCTTGGGGCAGACAGTGCTCCCAGAGCTGAGGTTCCTGGGGAGCACCCAGAGCCGTGCCTTGCACTCTGTTGCCGTGTGTCACAGTGCAGGCTGGCTCGGGCTGTGTGAATGTACCAGCCCTGGTTTGACTGCCAGGGGCCTCGCCCAGTCACATCTCTCCCAGGGCTGCAGCATTTCACTGGCCAGAATCTGACAAGGCATAGAGATCAGAGCAATGAAATTATCCAGACTGGGTTTCTCAAAGGCCCTTTAGAAGGAAGAGCTTGAGAATAAACGCTCTCTGTTTGCCACATGAACATCAGGGTGAGTGCTCTCTCTGTCTCCAACCCACTCCCCCTCGAGCCAATGTTACAGCCACCCACTCCCTCACACATCCCCCTCGTGCCTTCCCACTGCCGTGTCCTGTCAGGGCTTCCCAGGCCCTCATCCCTTCATGGCCCCAGCCCCTCAGGGGCTGCCCCAGCCCGGCCAAGCTGCCCGGCAGCAGCGCCACAGCCCCACAGCAGCTCCAGAGGAGCCCCATGCAGAGGCAGCCAGGAGCCCTCAGCAATCCAGCCAGCAGCACGCAGGCAGGAGGACACAGAGGGCACTTCCTGCCTGGCACAGGGCTTGTGGCCATCTCCAGGCACCGCTCTCACAGAGATCCCCGCAGCTCCGGTCCCTGCCCAGCCGCTCTGTCACCAGCACAAAAGCTTCCACAGAACCATCAAAGGCCAAGGGGCTTCTGGCCATTTTCCCTGCAACACTGCACGCCTGGGCAGCTGGCCGAGCCCAGGCACCCTTGTCCCCCTCCTCCCCTAAGCCCTGCAGAGCCTGGGTAGCAAAAGAAAGCTCCTGGGAGTCTGTGTATTATAACAAACTCTATATTCATATACTAAAGAAAAACCAAAAAGAAGAAAAGAACAATCTTAAAGAAAGGGAAAATTCCTGCTGGCTCAGGTGGCCCCAGCAGACAGAGCCTCTGGGATCAGCTCTCTGCAGAGCTGCAGCAGCACAGCAAGCCGAGCGCCGAGAGACGAGGCCGAGTCCTCCATGCCCTGCGGAGCTGATCTTGCAGCCTCTGGAAGATGGAATATGGTTCACTCTGCAGTGCCTGGAGGACATACAATGTTTCAAGTGCCACGTCTGACACGGCACTGCTGGTGTCCTCTGTCAGGTGTTGAAGGGCTGAAAGAGAGAGGGACAGAGCCATGGTCAGATGCCGCATCTGCGGGGAGCCGAGGAGAGCGCCCTGGCAGGGCCATGGCAGCCGGCTCTAGCCATGGGCAGGAGGGAGCAGGGACCAACAGGACCAGCCCAAAGCTGCTGGCCACAAATGCCCCGGGTGGCCCTGAAATCTCTGTGTGCTCTGCCCACGCCGGCCCTGGTGCGCACAGGGAGCAGAGCCCTCGGCAGCCGGGGCAGGGCTTGCAGCTCCCCCGGCAGCCCCCGCTGGCCTGACTCACCGTTGCAGATGAGCCGGAGCTCTTCCTTCTTCCCCCTCAGGTGCCGCGCGGCCATCCCTGTGAACACAGAGCCTGTGAGGGCGCCAGCGGCACAGCTCCCTGCCAGCGGCGCTGCCGGCGCTGTGGCCACACGGGCTGCTGGCCCGGCAGGGCTCAGCCCGGCCCTTGGCGCACGCTGCCGCCCCAGGGCACGGCTGCCAGAGGGCGGCAGCAGCAATGCCCTGGCCAGGCGGGGCTCCACGGCGCCGGGCCCGGCTGGCGCTGCCGGGGCAGCAGGCGGGGCTTGGGCCGAGCTGCGGCAGGCCGGGCCGGGGAGGGAGCCCGGGCTCGTGGCTCACCCGTGAACCTGATGGCCGCCGCTCGCAGGGACTCCTGTGGGCTCTGCAGGTAGGGCAGGGCCCGGTGCAGGTGCTCGGCCACTCTGCTGCTGTCTTCTGCCAGCTGGAGAGAGCGGCAGGAGGGAAGGCTTGGCGCGGGTTCAGCCCCTAGGCCGGGTGCTGCCTGTGCCCAGCCCCGGCCTCCCCTGGGCGCACAGCCCTGAGGCGCGGCCGGCAGCCGCCGGCGCCGGGCTCCCTAGCGGAGGGGGCAGAGGGGGCCGGCTGCTGCCCGGGGAGCCGCGGTGCCGGCCCGCCCCGCAGCCCCGCCGGGCCGGGGCTCCATCGGCCCCCGACTCGGGCCCACGGGAGCCTGGAGAAAAGCCCGCGTGGCCTCTGGCTGCAGCAGCCAGCCCCACACTCTGAGCACCGCCTCAGGGGGCTTCTCTGGGCTGAGGCTGGGGCTTGCAGGCCGTCCTTACCAGGAACTCGCTGAACTTCCACAGATTCTGGTTCTTCACCAGTCTTTCAAGATCCCTCCTCTTCAGGAAGTCGGCCACACAAAGCAGCGATTCCTGAGAAGCCTGGAGAGCAGCAGAGACGCGGAGATGGCCCCACAGCCCAGGGCGCAGGACCCGCGTCCCTGTGCCAGGGCCTGGAGGAGGCTGCAGCCCGGCAGGTGCCAGGGCAGGAGGCTGCCGAGCCCCCTGCCAGGGGGACAGCAGCAGCCCATGAGTCCTCACCTGTGCCACAAGCCGATTGCCATCATGGCAGTGGAAGAAGAGGGGCAGCAGGCTCTGGAGCAGGGGTGTCTTCAGGGCCTTTTTCTCCTTTTCCCTTTCTGGAAGAGTCACCAATGTTCGGAAGAGCAGTATGGAGAGAAGCTGCACCTGGCTATTGTTCTGTATGAAAGCAGGAAAAAAAGACCTCAGCATTGCGGCTGCACGGGGC